AATGTCCACAACATTACAAAAAGTGGGAACGCCACAATTCCTTTGTAAAGTTATTATTCGAAGTAAATTTGACCGTGAATCGTTGGAAATAACCGATGACGTCATGATGCCGTCACAACTTTTTTCTTTATATTTTTGGACCAGGGTTCAAGTTCATCCTTTTTTCTTGATCCGTTGCAAAGGAATTAGGTTTGTTTTTAATTAAAGGTTAATTGTTTGCATAAATCATTAATTTAACCGGTATAACCCCGGAAGGAAAGGTCAGGCGACTTTGTTTTCGAAAATCAGAAATGTTTATCAAGGTATCATCTATCAGATTACAAAGTGTAAACATGATTGTTCTTTTTGTCAATAAGCTTGTGGCATTGAAATCGTTTGTAATTTGATACCTGATGGCGTCATTATGACGTCAGAGTTATATACTCACTTCGGATTCAGGGTTGGTGTTTGTTCAAGGTTTCCAGTTTATACCATGTACCGTTGAGAAAAAAAAATCGTACAGAATTATTGCCTGGAATAAAAAAGAAGGAAGAAAGAAAGGGAAAAAATAATTCTTACCATTTCAAAACCGTGATCGGGTCGTACACGATCACACAAACATATCAGGTTTTTGTTGTTTGGAATGAGGAACTCCTGTCTGACAATATTTCCGCTACTACTTTCATTTTGCACTCTCAAAACGAAATTGTCGAAATAATAACTGTTTTCTTTACTTCTTCGTAAACTCATTTGGATTCTCGTTGCTAAGGATAGCAAACTAAATCCTTGGAATATGTTATTGTCAAAAACACGGTTGTTCAGGTTCGACTGGTTTTAATCACATTTTGGCTGCATTGTTTTTTAAGGGAACATTATATCAGGTTCCCTGCTTTGATTCAGAACAGTTGAAATTGATCGTGATTCGTACTTATTCCAAATACTTTACGCACTTGTGATTTACATCAGGTTCCCTGCTGCGACTGTTACTTTATCATTTTAATTGTCAAACATGAAATCCTGGTGCGATGTACTCACACTTTTCCGGCAATGAGAGTCTTTTGGACATTTTTTTGACATGAGATCGATTAATTAAAGCAGAATATGTATGTTCGTTGTGACTCCTGCAACTTCAAATTCGACCAATGTTGAACAATTAAGAGGAACATAGGATCTTTTGCCCTTGGTGTGTTTTTTTCGTTAAAAGCAACAAAATTGATCAAAATCTGAAGTATAAGGTGTATATCTAGTAACATGTTGCAATTTCAGCGCATTCTATACTTTTGAGAAAAGAGAAAACGCAGTTTCGAAGGTTTGCGGTAACACCATGTGAATAATATCTCTTTTGAGTTGTTGGTTCTGAGAAGAACCAGTTGTTTGAACTCAACGTGTCGACAGTGTGCTCTGTTCGTCATCAGGAGACTTTTATGTGAAGTGTTCGTTTATGTGACATGGCCCACGATGGGACTACGAGAAGTCATCCATCATCGAACATTCTCACAGCGAAGACCACACCATCAACTGGCAACAAGCACAGCTCATCACCAGCAACCAACAGTGGCACCCTCGGCGAGTCCTGGAGGCCACGGACATCTATAAACACAACACAGATCCACAAGACATAGGGTACCACCTCCATGATGGCGACCACTCCTTCATCGTAGGTCCAATGGGTCTTCTATACCCACGGGCCTAACCAATCTCCATAGTTCGATCCCCCGCATTAGTTCTGCCTATGGGTCCCCTAAACCCTTGGCACTCGTTCTGCACCCCTTGATGTTCATTCTAGCTGTACCACCATCATTCTGACATGCTTCAGTGAGTGCACACAGTCCACGTTAGCATCCTACCTGGAATCTTTTAGCATCCTCTTCCAGAATCTCCCGCCTTAACGGTCCACTGAACTACCCCCCCCCCCCCCCGGGTGCTACATCAACATCTACACCAGCAAGAGTCCGGCAGTCTCCTGATGACGAACAGAGCACACTGTTCGAAACGTCGAGTTTAAACAACTGATTCTTCTCAGAACCACACAACTCAAAATTATTCACATGGTGTTACCGCAAACCTTATATTCTTTTTTACATGTTTACCATGCAAACATACAAGTCTCATTTAAGAGTAAACGTATGCACAACTGGATGCCGTTGCTTACACACGCAAAAGAGCGTGCCAGCCGGCACACTATTTTAAAAACAGCAAAGCCTTCATTTTACTTATTTTATTTTACGCTTAACAGGCGGAATAATTGTACAGGTTGTTTGAAACCAGTTTTATTGTGTGTACTTTCTGTACATTTGCAAATGATCTGAATTAATTTTAACTTGTTTTACTATTGATGTTTCTCCCGTGCGTGAGTCTAGTCAGGGCCGTTGATGAACGAATTCCTACCGGAATAAATAATCAATCCAAATCACATTTCACGCGACAGAGATTTTTTTGTGCGGCGTTTTACTGATACAATTCAGCTATGCCTCCCCCACCATCCCGCAAGTTATCTCCCATCTGATTTTCAACGACTCGTTTTCGTTGGTATTATTTTCAGCCAGCAATCTGCTCGAGTGCTGAGGGTTCCTTTCGTGAGAGAATTCAAGAACGTTACATTCAGGTGAGTATCTGCTATTTGACATATCGTCATACAACTGTCAGAATTGAGCGTTTATTTAATGGCAGACTTTACCTTTTGTGTGCATCGACAAACGTTGTTGTCAAAACTGTAACAGAGAACGTCCTTGAAGGAATTTTATCATTAATATAGGTTTTCCGATCGAATTTGTCCAATGTGCATTCAAATTCAATTTCCTTTATTCAAAGTAAGGGATGCATACCCCTTGCTATTCAAAATAGATTTGTTTCTCTTACGAATTGTCGATGTGTATATGTGTTTTGTTTATTAAGGTAAAAACAACTACTTTGATCCGATTTTGAGCGTCTGCATGCCAAAGGAATTTTCATTTTTTGTGCACAATTGAACCCGCCCTGCGAGAAGCGAATTATTGTCTGACAGCCAATAATTTAAAGTTTGTGAAGCAATAATTCAGTAACTAAACTTTGTCGGATTTTTTTCCGTTCCATTACTAATTCAAAAGTAAATATATTATATATTTTCAGAAAAATAGCAATTGAAATCAAATTGTGGAGGTGAAACTCGAAGATAGTACGGGAACTGCATCTTTAAACTAAAGCAATGTTGATAATACAGACACTCAAACCGTTGCTAGACATGCCATTTTTTGTATAGCAACACCATCAATTTAGATTTCATTCTCAGACAATCAGATTCCTCGTCAAATTCACCAGGGTGCCTCGAACTAATGGCGAAACACGCTAAGTTTAATTGTCATTTTGTTTTATCTATTCACAATTAGGCCCCAAAAAATAATAAGTCGGTCTCTGGTCAGCGCGCGCGTCGATTTTTATCATGCGCGTCGATCTTTTTTTTTCCAAAATGTTCCGCGGTAGCTCCAACAGCGCCCTCTATTTCCGCACCTCCTCAATGTTTTTTAACCAAAGAGCACCAAGGAATGGGAAATTTCACCAAGGCAAATGATCTAAAGCACCAAGGCAAATTATGGAGGACACCAATGTACATGAGGACACCAAAAAGCAAAATAGTACCCACCTTGTCTGTACAATCCAAGCTTGAAGAAAAAAAAAAAGCAAAAAAAAAAAAAAAGGCCGCGTGTCCGCGTCAATTCCGGAACTTTGGTCTGACCAGAGACCAATTTTTTTTTTTTGGCCTTAGATTCGCAAAAGCAAAAAAATAACTTAATGAAAATAAGTATTGATTGCATCAATTGCTACTTATTGTTTAAGCGGATTAGTTAGCATGTATATACATGTAATGTTATATTCTTAATCATTTTGTCATGTTTTACCAAATTGTGTCCGCAATTACCGTTCTAATTCTTTGTTGTTCGTTGATCACGATGTTATTAGTTTGTGATTGTTTATAACGTCAGTGAATCATAACAAGTTTTCCCATCCAATTTCGCAACTTAATCATGAAGTCGCAATGTTTACTCTTCAAATGGTCGCAGTTAGAGCGTTCGATTTTTGGGATATTTACAACAACAAAAGGCGTGTGGACAGCATTTTTCGTGCTAAAAAAATCATTCTATTTTTTATTGGAGTTTTCACCGAGTAGGCGTATTTGTTATAGAGGAAGTATTCATTTTCAGCGAAAGTGCAGTAAAATCAGGAGTCATCTTAATCTGACATTAGCGATTCGCTAAACGTCAATCGCATTGGCGATAAGAAAGGAAATTAAATAATTCGCTCTTTTTATTTCCACAGAGTGATTACAACAATAAACAAACTGCTCACTTCGGTTAACATATACAGATCTCTCTTTTGAGTGCTCAGAATGTATTTTCTTCTATCACTTTAACATTTTACATTTTTAAACTTCTGTTTTGAAATTTGTTAGGCATTCAATATTTTCTTCGAAATAGCTGTAAATTCCTTGATCAAAGTTTTTCAAAAGCCATGTCATTAATTTTAAACTGTTTTGCAACACTATAACACAACATCTTAAGCAACTTATGTCATTGAACACGTGCTACTTTTATAAACGTACGCATCAAATTGAATTCTCGAGCGGGACTGAAATCCAAAGCGCAAGAAAATCAAGGCACAAGTCACGTTTTGATGCCTACTTTTTTACTCGTGAATGAAAATACTCTGAACAATTGCGAACTTTCGCTAAATTCAACCGGGTGTTCAAAACGCTTGCCCATTTTTTTAAATATTGAATGAGCAAGGTGTGACATTGAAATTTGAATGACTTACTACTGCGTCATAAGTAGATGCAGGCGATTTGAATAAACGTTTCAATAGAAATATTGGACTAATTTCAAGCATCAGTCAATGTCGTGAGAAATCCAACAATGTGCCATAAAAACAATTTGTGCCATCAAAATTAAATGAGAAAAAAACTCACGAGTTTATCTAAATTGAATAATAAAATATTATTTCTTACTAAAGTATAAAAGGTAATCAGTGTTCCTTCGTATGTTTTTCAGCCTTCACTGAACTCCTTGTGATCTCTTCTTGGACCTGATCTTCAAGAACGAACCATCGAGGTGGGTGTGATGAGGTTTAATTAATTATTCTATAAGGACCTGGGAAGGGGCAAAATGTGCTCCGCCTCCCCCCCCCCCCAAAAAAAAAATACTACAGCTCCAATGCGCTTTATCCTATCGGCATGCAATTTGGAGATCTTTATTAAATAATTCAATAGGTTGCCATGGCAACCAATTTTAAAAATTAAGCTTTTCATCAATGTTAGCTCCAGCCCCCTGATACGTCACTGTTATCACGAAGAACACATTCTCTGAACAGCGATTTCTTCAATCTCGTGTTTTGTTTTGTTTTCAAATCCGATTGTCATGAGTTAGACTAACTCTGCAGTTTATCTGACATCAATATTTTTCTCGAAAAAAACGGTTGCAACCTGACGCCACTTCCACGATTGTGTACAAAGTTTATGGAGGATCAAGAAAAGTATTTCCTAACAAAAATGGAAATGTTTCTCAGTCCCAGATTCATGTCTGATCATCATTTTTGCAATGAATGACCTTCATTGAGATGATATAATGAAGAAAAAAGTGACGTCAGGTTGCAACATTTTTTTCCTTTTTCTGTACTCGTCGCTATTTTTTTAACTATTTTATTTAAAAGAAATTCTCACCTGATTTGTTTCAGTTTAATCATTTTTTTTCTGTACAGAATGAAGATCTTCGTGGCAACCGTTCTTTCAATCGCCCTCCTTCTGGGTAACTCCGTCAACCTCCGAGCTTCCGTTACGCCGGTTCCCTCGGACGGTGATGGTGCGTCTCAGGCGGGCCAAACGTGCTGCCAGGGGCCTGCAGTTTTAGGGACAATTTTACAAGGGCCAAAGGGTGACACAGGGCATGAAGGTTCAGTCGGGCGAACCGGTCTGACTGGTGTCAAAGGTCAAAAGGGTGAGCCAGGGGAGGCACCAGAAGACTCCAACCAGCGGGTAGCATTCACCGTGGTGAGGACGAGCAGCTCGGATACCTCTACGAGTGACTTCACCCGTTTGCCCTTCCAGGCGACCGAGACGCTTCTGCCGGGTACCAGCTTCGATCTCGAGACCGGCACGTTCACGTGTGGTGTGCCGGGCACCTACGTGTTCATGTTTTCTGTGAACAAAGATGATTCCAGCAGCTACATGTACGTTCATCTCCGGAAGAACGGCGGCGCGGTTGTCACTGGCTATAGCGATGATTCAAGTCACAATGAGCAGGTGTCTGGGAGCGCGGTGGTGGTTCTGCAGCGTGGAGATACGATGTATCTCACAATGCTCGGTAGGGCGTATAGTACTTCCAATCACTACATCTCATTCAGTGGCTTCCTCCTTTACCCCGAATAAACACAACAAATCCAACACACAAAGATACACGAGCATCGTGTTGCTGATTTTTTTAATCGCTTTCCATTTTTGCCGAAACAATAACCAATGAATTAAAACAAATAATGTTCAATGACAATGTCACAAAATATTATTATTAATGTTTTTGATTTGCGCATGCTCCGATCTGTATACAACAATGGATTTGCCAATTTTTTTGACTTTCTGCAAAACAAAATATTTAGCTTTATGCATGAGTATTGAGATATAGTGAAAAGTATGCGTTAAGTTTGTTGACAACGATTTTTTTTTTCATTGTATCCATTGTAGGCCTATCGGGAAGTATTGTGATAGAATATTTTTTTTCAAAGCAAGCTGGGTCATAATTTTTTTTCGAAACAAAAGGTTTGCAATAAAACAGTGCCACCATGTATCCAGAAATGTTAACAACTAAAAACAGATTGTGTTTATGGCGTTATCTCGACCAACCTGGATTTTTTAGGCCATGTTTCTGACCGCCATTTTTTTTTATTGCCACATTTGGTGAACATATAAAATAACATGTTTTTTTCCCGAAAATAAATGCAACTTGTTTGTAGTATTGGGTATTTAAAACAGATTAATTAAACACAATAACTGTATCCTAATTGAAGCAAACAAAGTATAAAAGACATACAGACAAACAAAATATTTTGCTACCTACCTGGATAATTTTAGGGCGTTTACTGTAACATTTTATTTTCTTTGCCTTATGTTCCTGTATGCCCAGCACAGATAATGTCAATTAAATCAATCCCATGTATGTATCAATTTTTATTTCATGTCACGAAAAAAGTCTCGAGTGATTGAATCTGATTTTCTTATAGACTTTAAGCTTGGCATTTGGATTAACAATTGTTTGAAATATTCTAATGCTATTCACAGCAATTAGAACACACTGGTTTTTATGAAATGATTGCATTATTTTAAATGTTATAATATGTGAGAATTATGTAAAAGTAACAATTGACTGGCTATGAAAACAGTATGCATAAAGCCTCATTCTGAGGATTACCAAAAGCACCACCATTGTTGATAAATACTCTCTTTTTTCGCTTGGCTTCGTTATGAAAAAAAAACATGATTTTAATTACTTTCAGTTGAAACAGAAACGTGCCTACAGTAATGAAAAAAGTGGAGTTGGCTGTTGTTTTTAAAGCCCGCAAAAGTGCGACAAGTGTTTCTTGATTAACAGACTCCAAATTATTTGAAGACTGGTATTGTTCTTAATCAGTATTACTTGATTGCATTCAAGAAACTCACTTTGAAAACATCAGTGAAAGTGGGGGCCCGTTAGATGGTAAAGAAACAATCTCAACGAAAACAATCAAAACAAAAGTACAAATTCCATTCAAGTGAGGAGGGTCTTTCAACTGGTTGGAATTGTCCTTTGTCACTTTATCATTTCAAGTGAATTTCTTTGTATTGACTTTTATTTGGATGCCATATTTGGTCAGGTGATGCAATTAAGTCCCCTGCTGCACATGTACATGTAAGCTGAACAAGTACGCTTCCTGGGAATAGGTAGACTCCTGCAAGAAATCAAAGAAATCAAAGTAAAGGTTAGAATGGACCCTTCCTGCATGTCAATCAACAGTGCACATTGGCCAATCAGATCACCACTTTTGATCAGGTGACCACAGTAGCTCAGTCAGACTGGGTCACAAGCACTGTTATATCTATTGCTCACCCCGCCCCCATTTTTTGCACCAGCGGTTAACACCCCCCCCCCCCCCCCCAGTATTCTGTAAAGAGTGCCCTTTTTACACAAGGTGGGGGGGTTCACAAACCAAAAGTATACAAAGCATTATATACATAACAATTATAAAGAGCATTATTTCCCTTTGACATAAAGCATGTGTTTCCTTAGACATGCAGCCATCCAGAATAACCTGAGAGATCTCTGAAAGGCTCCATGAAATGAACTGGACACTGAAACATAAATTAAAATAATAAGGCCAACCAAGAACGAAGAGTGTGGTGTTTTTTTTATAGGGAATTATGAAGAAGACCAAAGATTTTAGGTGGAAAATGGACTGGAATATTGATGTTTAATATGTCGAGTTCCACTTGGCAAATAAAATGAACTACTTAAGGGTTGTTCAATTTGCACTGAAAGTGATCAATACTAATATTTGAAAAATAACCCACCAGAATGTCAAAGGTTTGACACAATTAACAGATGTTGCAAGACTGGACTTAAAATCACACAAACCAGGGACTAAGCGTAAAGTGGATACTGGGAAAGCTTTAAGTGTATTGTCTCCATGCATGGACAAAAGAGGGCGCTTTATAGTCAAACAAGCAGAAGCCGGAATGAGGGACACTTCACTGGTTCACTCATGCTGGTTATCGTGTATTTGGTACCAGCATTTATAAGCCACGATGGCGCCCAAATGGTCCTCGTTGATAGTTTTCTCTGTGGAAGGGGGGGGGGGGGTGCTTGAGCGCAAGAGGGAGATTCTACCTTCTCGTGACTTCTTCCTTGCTGATCTTCCAAGGAAACTTCTCCGTGGTCTCGCCTGCTTCTTCATCCAGCATCCAGGGTTTGGACAGCTCCTTGAACCGTCTCAGGCTCTACTCCTTGGGCTTCTTGTTCAGGTCCGGGATGACCTCCACGTCCGAGCAGTTGATGCAGAACTTGCTGAAGCATGTTGGCCATGTTCATCTTCTCCCTGTCCATTTGCTCCTTCTTGTCCGTGGTGGCAAAGACGCGCAGCTTGCATTTCCCCAGTTGGATTTCATGGAGATGAGGTGAGGGATGAGTAGGATCAAGCCTGGGGGTGGTGGGAGGTGGGGGCGGAGGTTGGGGGGGGGGGGTTTCACAAACAAAAATTATACAGAGCATTATTTCCCTTTGACATAAAGCATGTGTTTCCTTAGACATGCAGCCATCCAGAATAACCTGAGAGATCTCTGAAAGGCTCCATGAAATGAATTGGACAATGAAACGTATATTAAAATAATAAGGCCAACCAAGAACAAAAAGTGTGGTGTTTTCTATTACTTATAAAAAAAACAACTGCGTGGTAGGGTAGGTAAAAATCTGTTATGGGAGGTTTGACATTTCTATAGCCTGAAAATATAGGGTGGGATGATAATCATTAAAATTTAACTTTTTTTCTCTATTTTGCATGCATTAGTTAACATGTGAATCATTCTGCACTACTGACCAACTTACACAAAAAGAAATATAAAGGTTATAGTTTTCACTGTGGGGGGGGGGGGTGCTTGAGCGCAAGGAGGAGATTCTACCTTCTCTTTGAGCGTGGTGACTTCTTCCTTGCTGATCTTCCAAGGAAACTTCTCCGTGGTCTCCAGGCTGCTTCCTCATCCAGCATCCAGGGTTTGGAGAGCTCCTTGATGATTGTGTTGGTCTTGATCTTACCCAACCCACCAATCTAGATGGAAACCAATCAGGAAGGAAAATTTGAATGCATTTGCTCTAAATAAATTGTGTCCAGGTCTTGGAAAAGACCAACGTTAGTGCTGAAAAAAAAAGCGAGAAACCTCGACAAATCTGGTTTAATGATCTTGTTATACATTTTGCATCTTTGACTCAATTCTTTAAAGACCTGCTTGCATTTTACTCAAACTGTTCATCAAAATTCATTCCGCAAAGTCTGTGAGTACACATTTCGGTACTCA